TTTTATTTCATCAGCAGTGGATAAACCTTGCAACAGTGTAGTAGATATGAAAACACATCCACTGCTGATGAAATAAAATCATTTTTTTTAGCTCATTCTTAGTTAACGTTGAATTATCTCAGTTATAAAAATGTGAATGTCCAATATGAACCAGTATGATCATTCTGTATGGTTATTTTTAACATTTTTGTTTATTGACTGTTTACTTTTAATATAAGCTAATTTAAATCATATTTGAAAAAATAAAATACATACAATACCAGGTTACACGAGCAAGACTTAAAGCAATCCGATTCCACTGTTGTATGACATCCACATACAGTATATTGCCAAAAGTATTGGGACACCCCTCCAAATCATTAAATTCAGGTGTTCCAATCACTTCCATAGCCACAGGTGTATAAAATCAAGCACCTATGCATGCAGACTGCTTCTACAAACATTTGCGAAAGAAAGGATCGCTCTCAGGAGCACACTGAATTCAAGCGTGGTGCCATGATATGATGCATTGATGCCACCTGAGCAAGAAGTCCATTCATGAAATTTCCTTGCTATTAAATATTCCACAATGAAGTTGTAGGAGCTAAATGGCTCCTAACTGCATATATGTAATCGCACTTGACTTTGAGCTTAAAGGGATGTCTGTCACTTAAAGAGGTTTACGCGCTCATACGGGAGGGGAGGGGAGGGGAGGGAGGTATAGTGGCTTTCAGGAGTGGGGTTTCACGGTTTTTCTTTGACCGTTGTTTTAAGACGATGTGAGGGGGATATAGGGTTCTCGAAGGAACAAACAGGCACACTTACGTTCGCTTTTAAAAACTATTTATTACAAGTAATACAAAATAACCTTGCATTAAAATCAATACCAAAATATTGGATCAAAGGCAATGCAAAATAATCCCGTCACAAGTGATATCCAATAATTTTATATATATATGTATTATATATTATATAATTGGATTATATATATATATATAATCCAAGCATTTCACTGCATATCGTATTGTATATGACTGTGTATGTGACAAAAAAAAATTGAATTTGAATTTATATATATATATTCATTAAAGAATACAAGAGATTATAGGTATACAAAAAGTGACAATGAAACATGCATATACAGTATAGAAAGTGCAAATTGATATTATGGTTATTGTGATAATTGATTGAATCAACACATTGACACTGCAAAGCTATTCACACTCGGACGTGCCATCATCGCCTACCTTCACTCTTAGACTGGGGAGCCCGTTTCAGTCCTGGCAGGAGACCAACACGTGAGTCCCGAGAAAGTGCGGGCGATGTGCGCTGTATCCCACGGCTGAGCTCCAGTCAGTACTGAGATCTCCCCCTTCCTTTATACTGTACTAATTTGGGTGCTGCGTGCGGGCAGGGGACGAGCTGGCCAGGCTCACCCCTCCCCTCAGGCAATGCGTTCTCAAATTTCCAATTTTGTCCGAGTAATGCCGCGTGCAGCTTCAATCGAAAGTGATAAAACAAGTTTCTATAATCAATGTATCCCCCCTCCTCCTAAGGATGGGGGTAAGCGTTCTACACACACTGACCACTAGGTGCAGTTCCCAAAATAATTAGACGAGTATCCTTGAGCAGTGCTTTCCCTTCCCATGAAGATAACTCAGGTGTCTCATACACTGACCAGTGGTGTACAGAACATATTGAGCAACACCTTTCCCTGCCCTCAGCAAACCCCTCCAAAACCCGGGGAAACATGGTAAGAGTCCTTGAATAGGGTAAGCATCCCAGAACAAGGATTCTTTCACATAAGATAAGGATACTCTTAAACCAGTCATTTGTGGGAAAACAAGTTATATAAGTGATCACAGGAGAAAAAAAACCATGCTTATGCAGTTAATCCTTAATACAATAATATTACAGGTAAATCATGGACGACGTTTCTGAATCTCAGGATGATCAGTCCATACACGATCAGAATCAATCAATACTTCAATCACCTGTATGACAGTAACAGGAGGACAATGATTAATTCTAGGCAACGTAGTCGTCCGCAAATTCATCCTAATACAACCATGTTTCTTAATTTTGTATGGATAGATGGGAAATGCTGTTTTATTTCTTTCATGATTATTGCTCATTCTGTTGTAACAAAAATAAATAGATAATAATGAAACTTAAGTAACAAAAGACTGAAGATGGTCATTACATTGTCAGCTACGGGTGGCTGCCCTTCACAGACAGCTTACTCTACAAAGAGCAAGTTGAGGGAGGCGTAAAAAGAATTTCCCCACTGGGATTAATAAAAGTATCAATTATTATTATTATTATTATTATTATTTGATTATTTGGATCCACAGACCAGGGAACATGCGTCAGCCATAAGACTCCACTCAGGTACGGAGATAGTAAACTCCGACACAAGTGTTAGTGGCATTATAACCAAGTGGAAGCAATTGGTAACAACTGCAACTCAGCGATAAAGTGGTAGGCCACGTAAAATCACAGAGGGGGGACAACGCATGCTGAGGCGCACAGTGTGCAGAAGTCACCAACTGTCTGCAGTGTCATTAGCTACAGTACTGACCTCCAAACTTCATGTAGCCTTCAGATTAGCTCAAGAACAGTGCATAGAGAACTTCATGGAATGGGTTTCCATGGCTGAGCAGCTGCATCCAAGCCTTACATCACCAAGTGCAATGCAAAGTGTCGGATGCAGTAGTGTAAAGCACGCCACCACTGGACTCTAGAGCAGTGGAGATTTGTTCTCTGGAGTGACGCTTCTTTGTCTGGCAATCCGATGGACGAGTCTGGGTTTGGTGGCTGCCAGGAGAACGGTACTTGCCTAAGTACAATGCGCCAAGTGTAAAGTATTGTTGAAGGGAGGATTAGGATGTGGGGTTGTTTTTCAGGGGTTGGGCTTGGCTCCTTAGTTCCAGTGAAAGGAACCCTTAATGCTGCAGCATTCAAAGCCATTTTGGACAATTTCATGCTCCCACGTTTGGGAGAACAGTTTGGGGATGGCCCCTTCCAGTTCCAACACGACTGCACACCAGTGCACAAAGCAAGGTCCATAAGGACATGGTTGAGCAAGTCTGGTGTAGAGGAACTTGACTGGCCGGCACAGAGCCCTGACCTCAACCCGATAGAACACCTTTGGGATGAATTAGAGCAGAGACCGTGAGCCAGGCCTTCTCATCCAACACCAGTGCCTGACCTCACAAATGCTCTCCTGGAAGAATGGTCAACAATTCCCATAAACACACTCCTACACCTTGTGGACAGTCTTCCCAGAAGAGCTGAATCTGTTATAGCTGCAAAGGGTGGGCCAACTCCATATTAAAGCCTATGTATTAAGGATGGGATGTCATTAAAGTTCATGTGCAACATCATTGAAATAAATAAATGAAAAATAAATAAAATCAGGAATAAGTAAGTAGGAAAACTTTATTTATACATTGCTTACAAAAGTCACATATCACTGTACAAGTTAAAAAAATAATAGCAATACAATAATTATCTGGGAAAATTCTAACTTTGCATATACTTATGAATACTTATGTATTAAAATATGTTCTTTGACTTTTGTCAATTAAATAAAGATTCATGTGAACAAAAATATCACAGATTATTGTTTTATTGCGTTTTAGGAAATATCCCAATTTTTCTGGAAATGGGGGATGTAAGAACACAGAAAAGCAGGTTCTGAGCCAGACCAACCCCCGAATGGCACTGGCCACTTTAACTTATTATTATTTATTTACATATTTATTCAATACACTATATTTATTGCAGCCCATTCTGCTGTTGTATGTATACTTACATACCAGGCACGTGCAGGGGGGNTAGTATCCTATCCATCGTGTCCCCTGTCCTTAGTGTGCGATTGTGTGTGTGAGTGTGTGCTCTGCTATAAACTAGTATCCTATCCATCGTGCCCCCTGTCCTTAGTGTGTGATTGTGTGTGTGAGTGTGTGCTCTGCTATAAACTAGTATCCTATCCATCGTGTCCCCTGTCCTTAGTGTGCGATTGTGTGTGTGAGTTTGTGCTCTGCTATAAACTAGTATCCTATCCATCGTGCCCCCTGTCCTTAGTGTGTGATTGTGTGTGTGAGTGTGTGCTCTGCTATAAACTAGTACCCTATCCATCGTGCCCCCCGCCCTGTGCCCCCTGGGACAGGGTCCAGGCTCCCACCCCCCTGTACAGGATAAGCAGTAATTGAAATGTGTTGGATACTTTTTCAGTATTTTATCTGTCTGTTCCTGGGTTTGGCTGAAGCCTTTATCTTTTGGTTTGGATTTAGAATTTTAACATGTTAGTGCTAATTAATTAATCTAAAAAAAATGCATAACTGCATTTTGGGAAACTTTCTGTTTGTTTGGATGGCAAATTAATAACTAACTACAAACCCGTTTACCCGAGTCTCCTTCCTGAAACAATATACAGTAAGAAATTTGACATTTACAATATATGCTGTATCCTTCAACATGTAAACAATGTGAAAACCAAACCTGTGGATTGACAGTACATATAAAAGTTTGTTCTATCTATTCCTGTCACAGTCAATTTATAATTGCACATACCTGCATATTACACCTGATACCATATAATAGCTTCAAATTGTGTCGTCTTTTTGTTTCAAATCAGCGGCATCTGGGGAAAAATTTAAACCAAATCAGCTTCGAATCAAATAGAAATTCATTCCCTACATAATTGTTTTTGTCAAGCTTTCTGCCTTCTGCTTAATTTCTATCTAACATAAAATTGTCAGCTTATAGGTTGTTAGATTACAAAAACAATGAGGGGAGCAGTTATACGAATATAGCTAAATAATTTAACTAAATTAATGTGTGTTTTGTTGAAAAACTCCAACTCCAGTGTTTGCCCAGTCTGCTCTTCTCAGTCTGGCCTCAGTCCAAAACCACACCTACTGCAGCCTGAGAAGCAGGAAGTTCCTCCCACTCTCACATATAAAAATAACTATAGAAGAAAACAAAAATTAATCAAATTGGTGTTTTTTTGGAAAATGGCAGAAGCCAATGTCGCAGTGGATCATAATGAGTTCAGCTGTCCAATCTGTCTGGATCTACTGAAGGATCCAGTGACTATTCCCTGTGGACACAGTTACTGTATGAGCTGCATTATGAGCTGCTGGGATCAGGAGGATCATGCTGGAGTTTACAGCTGCCCCCAGTGCAGACAGACCTTCATACCCAGACCTGTTCTGGGCAGAAACACCATACTGGCTGAAGTGGTGGAGAAACTGAAGAAGACTGGACTACAAGCAGCTACTCCTGCTGACCATTATGCTGGACCTGGAGATGTGGAGTGTGACGTCTGTACTGGGAGAAAACACAAAGCTGTCAAGTCCTGCCTGGTGTGTCTGGCCTCTTACTGTGAAACTCACCTCCAGCCTCACTATGAGTCTCCAGCTTTTAAGAAGCACAAGCTGACTGATGCCACTAGACGTCTGCAGGACAAGGTCTGTTCCCACCATGACAAACCCCTGGAGGTCTACTGCCGTACCGACCAGCAGTGTGTCTGTCTGCTGTGTGTGATGGATAAACACAGAGGTCATGATACAGTCTCAGCTGCTGCAGGAAGGGAGGAGATACAGGTCAGACCAGAAATACTCATAAAAATTATAACATTTATTCGAAATAAAAATGGCTTTTGTCGTAATGTATTTGATTATCTCTGCTATGAAGACACATAGATCTAGTCTGGTGGGAAAGCGAAAGAAAAATTGAAAGTGCAAGATGTTAGAAATTGTAAAAAGTTCTCATTGAATTTCTATTGAAAACTCCTTTTAAATGTCGAACCATGTGGCTACTGCTGAATACATGCAGCAAGCAAACAGGGTCAAGAGGTTCACTTACTGTTTAGCTGAGCATCTGAATGGTGTGACATGTGTGAGATAGGTTTTAAATATGGTGTGATTGTCACTGTAAAATGTGGTGCTTGCAGCATCTCAGAAATAGCCACTGTCCTGGGATTTTCATAGACTACAGTTTACTGAAAATGGTGCATTAAACATAGAGCACCCAGACTGTGGCAGTTCTGTGAGAGAAGATACCCGTTTATGAGAGAGGGCAGAGGAGAATGGCCAGACTTGTTAAAAGTAACAGGAAGGTCACAAGTGCAAAAATAACAACTCAGTGCAACAGTGGTGAGTCAAAGGCTCTTTGTCCAGTTTATCTTTCCTACAGTAAATAAATCATTTAAGAATATCCATCTATCCATCCATCCATCCCCTAACTGCTTATCCTGGTCAGGGTCACAGAGAGCGCCTGGAGCCTTTCCAGGGCAGCAAAGGGCACAAGGCTGGGGTCCACCCTGGACAGGATGGTTAAAATGTAATCTTTGGTAGTAACTGATACTTGTTTGTTTGTTTGTTTGTTTGTTTGTTTGTTTTGCTACATGTAGAAACAAATGGGCAAAACACAGAGGGAATTTCAGCAGAGAATTCAGATGAGAGAGAAGGAGCTGCAGGAGCTGAGAGAGGCTGTGGCCTCAATCACAGTGAGTATGAACCTGAAGATAACTAGTTTGTGATCATCTTGGATCTTCTCTCTAATTCAACAGATTGCAGATTTATAAATTTGTGGGGAATAATCATTATAAAGTCACTGTGATTTACTCTGGATCAGAGGTTTGGTGGGGCAAAGATGTCAGATAGGATTTAACTAACCTGGGATTACAGGCAAAGGTTATTTATTTGGAAAAATACAATTTAAGGCCCAATTTAGGAAAGGCATATATTCCTACAACTGTGTAATGCAAATTAACACCAAAGAATTGCCAATAAAACTGAGACCAAATGGTGTCAACCAACCTGCCCCATGCAGCCAGCAGTCTCTGCCAAATCCCTGCAGCTGACAGTGTATGAGCTTAATGAATGATAATTTCCAATCAGTGCTGGCTGGGTTTCAGTACCTGAGGCATCCAGCATCGTGACGCTCCAAACCCCAGCCCTGTGCTGTTTTTATACCTCCTGTCGGCTCACATCACTATTGTACAATGAGGCTCTCTGGAGTCTCAAAAGGGGACAATTGTAATTTACTGTCCTCTGCTCCTTGTGTCACCAACAGAGCTCAGCACAGTCAGCAGTGGAGGACAGCGAGAGGATCTTCACTGAGATGATCCGCTCCATTGAAAGAAGACGCTCTGAGGTGACAGAACAGATCAGAGATCAGGAGAAGGCTGCAGTGAGTCAGGCTGAAGGAGACATGGAGAGACTGAAGCAGGAGATTGATGAACTGAAGAGGAGACACTCTGAGCTGGAGCAGCTTTCACACACAGAGGATCACATCCATTTCCTCCAGGTAACAGAACAGCTACTCTGACAATATGAAATCCAGAGTATTCAAATACTGTAGATGCATGTACTCATTTGTGTTTTAACTAGTCTGTCATTTGTCAGATGTTAATGCTGCTGCTCATTCGATTACAATGCACATTTGTTTTGTTGAAGCTGTTTAATCAGACTGTGTGTCTGTAGAGGTGCCAGGGTCTTCCTGTTACTCCTGAAGCTGGATTTGGACCCAGGATCTCTGTCTGTCCACGCTGCTCTTTTGGGAATGTGAGAAATGTGGTTTCTGAACTGAAGGATCAATTGGAGAATGTTTGTGAAAAGAAAATGGCAGAGATCCATCACAAAGGTTACTAAATATATTTTCCAGTCTTTTCATGCTAATATAGACTACGTAGAGAGAGTATGCAGTACAGGCAGCCTCATGTTTGTGTGACTAAGTGAGTTTCTGTTTTCAATAAGACTAAATCTTTCTGAAAACTGATGAAAGAGCTCCACACTGCACCAGTGGTAAAACCCATATCACATGACTAGTGTTTCTTCTACATTATGCAGTTTGTTAAAATGTCTGTTATTGTCCCTCATAATGATAATACCCTACTGCTGTTGTATCCACAGTGAGTGAAGTCCATCTCCCACAAGTAAATTCCTTTTACTCACATCCCTGTTTCTCTCTGTCTCCTTCTAGTTACCAAAGACGCCGTCCTACCAGTATTAGTGCCCAGGACCAGAGCAGAACTCTTACAATGTGAGTCTGTTCACACACACGCTTCTCTCTCCCTGTATGAGGTGGAGTGTGTTTCATTGTGTTTCGTTTTCTTCTGCTAGGGGAGCTTCTCTTTCTCTCCCCTGCTGCCTCCTGGTTTTCCAGATTTACATGAGTTGTTTATGTCAGGAGCCATTTGAATCCAATTTGAATGCAAGCAAAGAAAGGCAAGTTTATTCAGGGTGCTTTTCCACTGCACCAGGTACAGTATTTTCAGTACTTTCCCTTTTCCATTGACTTCCGGTCAAGTACCAGCACCCAAAGTACCAAAGCAGCTGGGGTATTTTTTGGCACTTCAGAACTTTGGGGTGAGACTTGCAAACACGTTCATTGTCGATTTACAAGACAATTTAAACAAGCCTAAAAGCACAGTCACATGACATGACTTGGTGGCAACTCCAGTCCGTACCTGGAACTGAGAAGGATGGCTGTGAGGGCTCTGAGGGCAGATAAGGAGGCATTTGTAAGACAAATCTGTGAGCAGGTGACACACCATCTGTGGTCTACTGACCCAAGTCCTGCTTACAGAGGAATCGAAGCATTACGCAGAATACGCACATCTGTATCTTTTCCTCGGAGACTTGCAGTCAGGGCAGATGATGAAACAGTCCTTATGGATGACCCTGCAGTTGTGACCCCGTAGTGTCGGCTACTTTGAGTGGTTATTTAAAGCTGACCCTCCAGCTAGGATGTTGGACATCTCTGGGTCCATGGATCTCGAAGCTGATACTCCGATCATCTGTGAACCACCCAGTCTCACTGAGAGACTGCATGAGTGGTGAATCGGCGGGGGGTAGGGAAGGCCACAGGGATCTGTGGTATCCGGGCTTAACTTCTCCAGGCTGGTGGTAAGGCTGTCCTCTTGGCATTGCAGGCAATCTTTGCATCCATTTGGGAGTCAGGCGTCATCCCAACCAGGGACGCCGTAAGGGGGAGGAAAGCTAGGACGATTCCAAGGGCCCCTGAGTGACAGGGGCCCTAAAAAATTAGGAAAATAACTGGATTGGTTTGGACTGGGGGGCCTAATATGATATGCTTTCATGGGGCCCAAAATCTCTAGCAACGCCCCTGATCCCAACTGACTGGAAAACAGGACTTGTAGTCCCTATCTGGAAAGGGAAGGGTGATCGCCTGGATTGCGACAGCTACAGGGGGATGACACTTCTTTCAGTGCCGGGTAAGGTCCTTGCAAGAGTCAGCTTGCCTGTCAGCAACTGGAGCAGTCTGGTTTTACGCCCAAGAAGTCTACCATCGACCGTATCCTTGCACTGAGGGTTCTCATCGAGTGCAAGAGCAAATGTCGGCAGAGCTTCTTTGCAGCCTGTCGATTTTCGTAAAGTGTTCGACTCAGTTGATCAAGTTACTCTGTGGGACATCCTCAGACTTCGCAGGATCCCCCCGAAGTTTCTGGAAGCTATGGCTGGCCTGTATACCGGTACTGTGAGTGCTGTACAGTGTGGAGGGAGAACCTCTGCGTTCTTCCCAGTTGATTCTGGGGTTCACCATGGGTGTGTTCTTGCTCCTACTCTGTTCAATGCTTGTATGGACTGGGTGTTGGACAGGGTTGTGGGGTCCAGCAGCTGTGGGGCATCCGTTGGTGAAGAAAAATTTTATGATTTTGACTTTGCCAATGATGCAGTGTCTTAGTGAAGTCAATGGAGGCTCTGATCTTGGCTCTCAAGAGATTGAGCGAGGAGTCTGAGTTCCTGGGATTGCAGGTGTCCTGGATAAAGACCAAGATCCAGGCATTTAATGACCTCTTAGGCACAGCCATGAGTAGTGCGTCTATCTGCAGGGAGAATGTTGACCTTGTCGAGAGATTTACCTACAGTACTTCAGCAGCAACATTCATGTCTCTCGTGACTCTTCCTATGAAGTCAGCAGATGGATTGGAAGAGCATGGGTGGTCATGAGGTCGCTGGAAAGGGGAGTGTGGCGCTCCCGATATCTTTGCAAGAGGACGAAGGTCCAAGTCTGTAGAGTCCTGGTGCTCCCTGTCTTGCTGTATGGCTTTGATACTAGGACACTATCCAGTGAGCTGAGATGAAGACTGGACTCCTTTGGTACTGTATCTCTTCGGGGAATCCTTGAGTATCGCTGGTCTGACTTTATGTCAAATGAGCAGTTGCTAGAGGAGTCCCAAATGAGGCACATTACCTGCATTGTAACGGAGTGTCAGTTACAGCACTATGGCCATGTGGCACGATTCTCTGAGGGTGATCCGGCTTGCAGGATCCTCATTGCTGGGGACCCAAGCGGCTAGTCCAGGCCAAAGGGACGCCCATGCAACTCCTGGCTGTGGCAGATGGATGGCCATTTCCGGAGGGTGGGACTGGACCATGTGTCTTTCTGGGGGATCACCAACCAGGAGTTTCGCCATGTGGTGGGTGCGGCAACACGCTGCATCAGTGCAAGTGTCACAATCCGTGTGGGCGAGCGAGCAGGGAATCAGGATCGGTCACATGGATATCCAAGAAACAGGGTTTAATTCCACAAAAGGGCAGGCAACAATACATTGACACTACAATGACCGGACTCGGGAAACAAACGGAAACGCGGACTAAATACAATCGACTAATTGACAACGATCAGGAACAGCTGGTAAACATGGGGAATCCACATGGGGTTAACGAGGGGGCGTGGCACACGAGAGGAGCGGACGATCGGGGCATAACAGCAAGCTCCCCAACCTGACCTGACCTGAATAATACTTTATGGTAGCATCCGTGCAGGTATTGTGATGTGTGTGTTTTTTTTTTGGTTCTCATTGTAGATGGATTTTTGTGTGCAAGTGAATTTCTGTGTTTGATCCAAAGACATCCAAACATCCAAAGATCCTGAAAAAACTGGCACTACAAAACACTTAATTCATTTTGGTTTTTTTCCCCCCTTTTAAAAAAGGGCTGGTTTGGGTTTAAAGACTACTGGTTTCATAAATTAAAATGGTAGTCTGGGTAGTTCTGTATAAATACTTCCCAGTCAGCAAACAAATTTGGCCCAGATTTGGCATTCATCTGGCACACATGGCATTCACCCGGCACTGGCATACAGCATGTGGGCCAAACATGGCCCGGGTTTGACAGAGGTGGTACTGGTTTTAAGGCAGCACACAGGACATGGGCCAGATGTCAAATGTAGTATT